TTCAAGGCTCATACGTTCAAGCTCATACGTTCAAGGCAATTTAACCGGACCAAATTGGAAGTCATCTGCCCTCAGGACCTATTTACAGTTGTCCCATTTACAACGGACTCAGTTGTCATTGATGTATATCAAATATAATATGTAGCTCAGCGGCCTGTTATCATTTCTGTCCCGCACGAGACGCCAATAATATCAGTATTGCATGGCCGTTTACTCGCAAATGTGGACGATCTCTCCAACCAGAAAGTTGAAGGACTTCACTTTGATCGCGTGTAAATGACAAAATGGCTTAACAATCCTTGCCATAAATAACCTATTTTGCATAGACCGGACCTATAACCATTACCATTCTTTTTTAATATATTTAATTTTCAACACAAAAAACAGTGTTTTTATCAGTTTCAGTTTGTGAATCTTGAAATTTCTTGAATCATTTTTGGTATATACTATAACCAAACCTTCCATGAGGAAGACCGAGACACATACATTAAGCTTTTAATAGAGTAAATGTTTATATTTTTGTTATATTTTTTCTTTATTTTTTTATTATGGGGAGGGTCCGAAGTTTTAGTTTTCACAGGAAACGGTCGTCGCCGACAGAGACTCAAGGGGGGAACTATAGAAAATTGACTGCCAATTAACTGACAGTGGACTGGGATCATAAGAATATAAAATCTTCCGAACCCCCTCTCCTCCCCCTCCTCTCCCCTCCCCTCCTCACCCCTCCCCTCCCACCACGGGATAAACATTGACTGGTAGCTGAACCATTACTTTTATATAATGCAACGTTTTACCGGTTCAACAGGTTCTCAAAACATGATGGCGCTACCAATATAGATAATTTAAATGCAGCCGAAGGAAGATCCCAAGTCACTCCGCGTTATCTGAGGAATAGCGCCGCGACATACGCAAAGCTAGCTTGAAGGAAACAGTCTGTACCAGTTCCTCTCCAAGAAAGTTGCCATCATCACGAGCTATTCACGTAACACTCTCAGAATACTCTGGAACCCTTCAGCAATTTTTCATTCGATAGCAGGAATCGTCTTTCTTCATTTCAATGAAAATTCGTTTGGAAAAACATTCACTTAGTGAAATTAACTCCTGAAATTTTGGAGGGCTTCAAAAATCTCACAACACCTTCCTCGATGTTGAGCTTGATAAAACAGTTTCTCAAAATTGACGAGACAATCCTATGTCGCAAATCCTTGTATGGAGTATTTTTACCAAAACCTCACGGAAACTCGTTTGATTAAGTTTCTTAATAAATTCTTAGCGCCTTTCTGCCGCACAAAAAAAAAAAAAAATCGAAGTACATAGCTTACATTAAACGTGACTCAATACATGACTCAAATTATATTTTGCTCTTTAGGAAACTTTACTCATATAATAGGAAGCATTGTCCAAGCCTTATATAGCAGCGGCACCCCATAATAGGAAGCATTGTCCAAGCCTTATATAGCAGCGGCACCCCATAATAGGAAGCATTGTCCAAGCCTTATATAGCAGCGGCACCCCATAATAGGAAGCATTGTCCAAGCCTTATATAGCAGCGGCACCCCATAATAGGAAGCATTGTCCAAGCCTTAT